TTCACCACCAGCCCACTGGCCTTTCCTCCCCAAACTGGTATTGACCTGGAGCACAGCACCTCTGGGAGCACCTCTCCCTGCTGGAGGGGATTTCTGGACAGGAAGCAGGAGAGTGTGGGTGCTCCTGCCCCTGTGCCCTTGCACTCCTGCTCTCCTGCCCTGCTCCTGTGCAGCTGGTGCTTCAGAAGACACTTCCATCTTCAGGATGTCCCCTCCTGGACACAGCCATGGATGGGCCAGGACCCTGGCCCAGCTCCAAATGGGAGAGTAGTGCCTGGAGCTAGCCCCAGGCTGAGGCTCCCATGCTCACCCCAGGCTCTGGAACAGCTTGGACCCAGTTCCATGGATCCATGTCCCACAGCCCAGCACCCAGATCCAAGTCCCACATCCCAGCACACAGAACCCATGTCACACAGCCCAGCACCCAAATCCACTCCACACATCCCAGCACCCAGATCCATGTCACACATCCCAGCACCCAAATCCACATCACACATCCCAGCAGCCAGATCCATGTCCCACAGCCCAGCACCCAGATCCATGTCCCACAGCCCAGCACCCATGGTCCATGTTCCACACCCCAGCACCCTGCATGGACCCAGCTCTGCCCCAAAGGCCTCCCAAGGAGTCAAGGCTTTGGGCTGCTTTGCTTTAGGAGTGTGACCAGAGAGATGAGGGGGCAGCCAGTGCTCCTTCTCCTGAGGCTGCCTGAACCTCCAGGCTCAAAAGGCCACCAGCCCCTTTTGAAGACCTTGGCCAAGGATCCTCAGCCTGGAGGAGGATCCATGAGACCAGCCAGGGAAAGGCTGGGAGCAGAACCCTGCTCTGCCCAGAGAACCCTCCAAGGCAAGAGACAGCAGGTACCTGCCCCCTCCTCTGTCCCCCTGCCCATCCCAGCAGCCAGCAGGGAGCCAGGACAGGAGGTACCAGCTTCGAGGGTCCCCAACAAGAGCCCCCAGGTCCCCCCTCTAGGCACAGTCAGGGGCCATGGACAGACACTTGTGGGACTCAGGACCCTGGGACAATCCATGTGGCAGCTCCACAGCAAACACCCTGTCCCAGGCCTGGGGGCAGCAGGAGAGGGAAGGGGCTCAGCCTCCCCCAGGGCACCAGCAGCCCCCGCCCGTGGGCAGCTAGAAGTGCTTGTCCTCCAGCAGGGAGCTCACCACCAGCTCCTTGTTGCCAAAGTCCCAAAAGGCAGTCATGTGGAAGGCCATGTTGGAGAGGACAACCAGGTACTCCAGGAGGGCGAAGATGGTGTAAACTGGTGGATGAAACAGAGCAGGTGAGGGGGGATCACAGGATTGTTCTGGCTGGAAAAGGACATTATGATCGAGCCCGAGCATTAACCCAACTCTACCCAGTCCTGTGCTAACCCATGTCCCTCAGCACCACGTCGACATGGCCTTGAAACAGCTCCAGGGATGGTGGCTCAAGGCCAGTGGGCCAGTGTTTGACAACCCTTTCAAGGAAGCAGTTTCCTTTAACACCCAACAGCCACCCCGGGCTCGCGCTGCAGCACCCTCGGCAGCCAAGGGGTCACCCTGAACCTTCATGGGCAGAGGGTGGATTTGGGTTGGACATGAGGAAGAAATTCCTCACTCTGAGGATGGTGAGAGCCTGGCCCAGGCTGCCCAGGGAAGCTGTGGCTGCCCCATCCCTGGGGGTGTTGAAGGGCAGGTTGGATGGGGCTTGGAGCAGCCTGGGCTGCTGGGAGGTGTCCCTGCCCATGCAGGGGGTGGGACTGGGTGGGATTTAAGGTCCCTTCCCACCCAAACCAGTCTGGGATTCTGTGACCCTCCCAGGCATGGCCAAGCCATGGGGGGGACAGCAGCCCTGCCCCAGCCCCCTTACCTCCAGGGCCACAGTACCAGTTGTGGTGGAAGTAGACGCAGATGGCGAACGCGAAGGTGATGAAGGTGAAGAGGAAGAGCAGCTGCTTCCACTTGTACGACTTGCGCTCCTGGAAGAGACCAAGGGCTGGGTCACAACCTGGGCCTGTCCCCCTGACCCAGCTGAGCAGGGACCTGCTGAGGTCACAAGCAGCTCAGCCTTTGCCCCTGTGGACACTGGAGATGCTGGAGCAGCCACCCAGCTCCCCAGGGAAGCCTGGGCAGGCACCAGGGGCCCCTCTGCACCCGGGTTCCTCGGGCACAGCCACCCAGGAAATGACCTTGGAGGCACAAGGGGGGGATCACACCCACGTGGAGATGAACCAAGTTGCTGCCCACAGTGGGGAGCCCCAAGGGCAGGATGCCATGGGGGGCTGCAGTGCTCCAGAACCCACCCAGCTCCTTCCCTGCACAGCCAGTGAGGGGAAATGGGGGCCAGGGGGTCATCAGACACCAGCAAGCTACAGAGCCAGAACCCACCCGTGTCCTGGGCTGTGTCACCAGCAGCATGACCAGCAGGGCCAGGGAGGGGATTGTCCCCTCTGCTCTGCTCTGCTGAGACCCCCCTGCAGGGCTGGGAACAGCTCTGGGGTCCCCAGCACAGGAAGGACACGGAGCTGTTGGAGAGAGGCCAGAGGAGGCCCCGGAGATGCTGGGAGGGCTGGAGCAGCTCTGGAGCCAGGCTGGGAGAGTTGGGGTGTTGAGCCTGGAGAAGAGAAGGCTCCAGGGAGAGCTGAGAGCAGCTTCCAGGGCCTGAAGGGGCTCCAGGAAAGCTGGGGAGGGGCTTGGGACAAGGGCAGGGAGGGATGGGAGCAGGGGGAAGGGTTTCCAGCTGGCAGAGGGAGCTGGAGCTGAGATGGGAGGGAGAAATTCTG